CTCTACACCAGAGGGTCTTTTTCAATATACTGTCCTCCCTTTTGGACTACATGGGGCCCCAGCTACCTTCCAGCGCCTCATGGACAAGCTATTACGCCCGCATAACAGTTATGCTGCTGCCTACTTGGATGATGTGGTCATTCATACCCCAGACTGGGAAACCCACCTGGAGAAGGTGGAGGCAGTCCTCGATACCTTCAGGCGAGCTGGCCTTACAGCAAACCCTGCCAAGTGTGCTGTAGGGTTTACAGAGGCCAAGTATCTTGGCTACATTGTGGGAAAAGGTTTGGTAAAACCCCAAGTGAACAAGTTAGAGGCCATCCAAAATTGGCCCTGACCAAGTCGCAAGAAACAAGTCCGGGCGTTCCTAGGTGTGGTGGGGTATTACCGATGATTTATCCCCCACTTTGCCACAAGGGCAAGCCCCCTGACAGACCTAGTGAAAGCCCGTGGACCTGATCTGGTGAGATGGTCTGACACAGCAGAGGAAGTATTCACAGACCTATGGACTGCCCTCTGCAGTAACCCCGTACTGATAGCCCCTGATTTCACCAAGGAGTTTATCCTGCAGACGGATGCATCGGAAGTAGGGTTGGGGGCCGTTCTATCACAGATGGTCGGGGAGGAGGAACACCCAATTCTATACCTCAGTTGGAAACTCCTTCCAAGGGAACAAAAATATGCAGTGGTGGAGAGAGAATGCCTCGCTGTAAAATGGGCCATGGAAACATTGCGCTACTACCTGCTTGGGCGCAGATTTGTCCTCGTGACCGACCATGCCCCTCTTCAATGGATGCAGCGGAACAAGGAGAACACAAGGGTGACCAGATGGTTCTTATCCCTCCAACCTTTCCAGTTCCGTGTGCAACACAGAGCAGGGAGCCGTCATGGCAACGCCGATGGGTTGTCACGTGTGCACTGTCTGGCGTCCCAAGCTGCCCAACCCCTTGGCATTGAGTAGGGGGGAGGGATATGTGACAGACCCAGACCAGTAGGGTACAGGAGTCTGGTAGAGGGCAAATATACTGCTCACTGGATGAGTAGTTTTCTGTTCCCTGAGTGACCGGAGCAGGGGCTGCACTAGAGTAATCAGGAACCTGCTAGAACCAGTTAAGGCAGGCAGGCTAATTAGGACACCTGGAGCCAATTAAGAAGAAGCTGCTAGAATCAATTAAGGCAGGCTAATCAGGGCACCTGGGTTTTAAAAGGAGCTCACTTCAGTTTGTGGGGCGAGTGTGGGGAGCTGGGAGCAAGAGGGGCAAGGAGCTGAGAGTGAGAGGGTGTGCTGCTGGAGGACTGAGGAGCACAAGCGTTATCAGACACCGGGAGGAAGGTCCTGTGGTGAGAATAAGGAAGGTGTTTGGAGGAGGCCATGGGGAAGTAGCCCAGGGAGTTGTAGCTGTCATGCAGCTGTTACAGGAGGCACTATAGACAGCTGCAGTCCACAGGGCCCTGGGCTGGAACCCGGAGTAGAGGGCGGGCCCGGGTTCCCCCCAAACCTCCCAATTGACCTGGACTGTGGGTTCTTCCAGAGGGGAAGGTCTCTGGGCTGTTCCCCAACCCACATGGTGAATCTCTGAGGCAAGAAAATCTGCCAATAAGCGCAGGACCCACCAAGATAGAGGAGGAACTTTGTCACAGTGTTAACAGCTTTTAAGCCAAGATTTTCAAAACTATTGATTCTAACTACTACCCAATTTGACACCTTAATAGAGGCCTGATTTCCAAAGGGTGGGTGCTCTGCACTTTCTGAAAAATCAGCCCACCCCATATTACTGGGGGGATACATTATTGGCCTGTCTCTTATCTGTCAGTCAGTCATACTCATTGCTCATTAGGTTATGTGAAGTAGTTTTGACAGCAAATTCTTCCATGTCACAAGTTCTTTGAAAGATCCAGGCATCTCATTTGTTATTGTTTTTTATCTTGGACATTTAATTAATTAGTTTGTGTATCAGGCACACATCTGCCTTCCATGTTTGGTTGCTTGTGAGTGGAGTTTGCACACTTAGGCCTTGTCTACACTACAGAGTTTGTTGACGCAAGTTATGCTGACATACAGCCACCACTGTAATTACTCCGCTGTTGCGTGTCCCCATTATTCTCCTTGTGTCGGTGGAGCACATCCACAATAGCAGCTCTTGCATCGACAGAGAGCAGTGCACAGTGGGTAGCTATCCTACTGTGCAACTGGCCATAGGGTGCTTTGAGAAGGGTTTGCAATGCCTCATGAGGGCAGGTACAGCATCACATGATGGTTTCTCAATTCCATTCCATGGGCATCCTACTAGATTTCAACTGCCATGGTAACCTGCAATCCAGCCATCTGTCAGAAAGCTTGGATCCTGCACTGCTCTTCAGTATTGTGCTGTGCGTTATGAACACAAGACTATAAGAGTAGCCCAAGTGGGGCTACGTGGCTGGGTGATGCCTTGAAGGAGCATAGGAACACTGCACCACAGTAATGTGTGTTGCTGTAGTGTGCTGAGCCTGGCATTGTATGTGCCATGCTATGAACCTTGCAATGATTGATGTGTGTGCCAGAAAAGTGAAGTGCTTTACAATGTGTTAAAAGTATCACTCGCGATAACATTATCAGACTTTGCTGAACACTAACACAAGAAGTCCACACAAGTGTGTGTGTGTGTGTGTGAGGGAGAGAGCGCCAGCTTGTGTTTTGGGAGAGTAGGTATGTGAGAGACTGTGTGGGGGTTGGGGGAGAGAGTGCATCAGCATGCGGTCTTTAAGTTCAGACAGCAGCCAGAAACAACCAATCCTGAAGCAGAAGCTGTTGTACAAACAGCTGGTGTCCACCCCTGTTCCCCCAGCTCAGCAGAGACCAGTACATGGGCAGGGAAAAGCCTGGATGACATCAGCCCCTGGCTCAGCATGAGTCTCCCCTTTCCCCCTAGTAGCAGCCCGCACTGCCTGCCACTGCAGACCTAGTGCTGGGGAGAGCAAGATTCCCTCCCAAGTTCTCCCACAGCCTCCTCTCCCCACAGACCAAGAAGATCTACCCCCTCCCTTGTAGTCCAAGCAGAAGTGCGTTTGCTGCCAGGAACCGGCTTGCTCAGCTCAGGGGAGGGGCGCATGCTTCTGTGGCTGGATGCAGGGCAGCAGAGTTCAAAATAGCGAGCAGAGCAGTCATGGTGGGCAACGTGAGATACCTCCTCAAGGCCAGTTACAGCGACGTAACAAACAGCATCTACACTGACACTTTTGTCGATCTAACTTTGCCACAAGCAGCTCTACGCCTCTCGTCAAGGTGGTTTTCTTTTGTCAGCCAAGCAGGCGAGTTTTGTCAGTGGGAGGAGCATTGTAGTGTGTACACCTTCACTGCTTTGCCCACAAAAGCTGCCTTTTGCCAACAAAACTGTAGTGTAGACAAGGCCTTAGAGCAGGTCCCTCCAACTGCTTTTAATACAGACATCAAGTGCTTCCTTATATTTCTGCAGCTTGGAGTCTTTAGAATCTGGTGGGAGAGGTTTCTGGGCCTCTCAGTCATTTAAGAGCAAATTCTTAAAGTTGTTCAGGCACCTCAAAATGCAGGGAGGCCCCTGGTGGGATTTAAAAAAAAATGTTCAATTGGATTAGGCACCCTGGATTCTAGTGGGATTTTCAGACGCACCTGTGTGCATCTTTAAGCACCACAATACCTTTAAATATCTGGCTCCTATTCACTTCTAAACAGTGCTGCATTATCTCATTTATCCTACCCCCTTTCCCATTTCTACTAAGTAACACCAAACTCAGAGAAACTGCTGAAAATACTATGCCAGTGTGGCTCTACAGTTTATTGAAAGAAAAGGGGGAAAATAACAAGGTTATTGTGTAATTATATATTACGTCAGATTATTTCCTTTTAGAGAAAGATATGATAAATTACTCTAGTTCGTACACTATGTTGTTACAGCGATGCTACTGCCATCCAGTGCACTCTCACTCTTGTGTTAACGAAGAATTTGAATCTGGAGGGCCAGATCCTGCAGTCTTTACACTATTGACAAAGGAATGAGAGATTTGCCCCAACCTTTAAGATAAGAAAACTTACTTTTTAATTGTTTTTTTTCCACTTAAGATATTAAATACAAGACCATTCTCAGAATAGCGACAGTGTGTCTGTGATTATGTACAACTGTCATTAAATGAAGCATTTCTCATTAAGTGTTCGTGCTAAGAAAGAAAGATGGACATGAGAGTTTTAGCACAGTTTTTTCCTTTTTATTATCATCCTTATACAGGTCTTGGAAGAACGCTGTACAACTAACTCCCAGTTTAAGCATTAAGTACTCTTTAGTTAATATTCAATTAATTGAGGGCATGAGGCTGAAATCTTCCACTCCTGTTCTGCACAGTTACTATACAATATAAAGTGATAGTAGTGTAAGCTCCCTCTTCCTGATCTTCCAATGTGCCTCAGTCATGACGTGAGTGTCTCCTCAGCCATTCCCCAGTTAATTCCTGGTCACTCTAAAATAGCCAAACTGGCCAGTAGTAATATGGACATGACCGCTACCACATTTCACAGAGGCAACTGACAAGAATCAGATGGTAGTAACTCTGTCACTATCAATTGAATCAGATTAAAATCAGTGACCATAGGAAGGAAAAAGCTATTAAGTCATCCTGTCTCCCTCCTTTGGGTTTTTAGATTTGAGAAAGGTTCATTGTCCTAGAGTGACACCGCTGAGGTACAAGGTTAGAAAATTGAGTTAAGTAAAGTCCCACAGCCAGAAACATTCTTCCACTTGTTATGAGACCAGCCTTAGTTTCAACAGAGTCATTTTGATTAACAAAATGAGAGACAACTGTCAAGCAACTGAGCTCTATCTAGCCTTTACCCAACCATTATATATCTTCTTTAGGAAAACTGTCTGGAAATAAAGCTTTTTCCAATTTACCATGAAACAAAAATGAATAGAACAGAGTAAACTGACAGACTATCACAAGATATGAATGGTGCATATGGCAAGGAGATAACATTCTATCACAAGCCCTTAAAAAGGGTGCAAGAATTTTATTTAATCAAACTTCATATTTAGCAACAAATGAAATGGTTTTCCACAAGAAGTCTCATGCTGCCATATGCAAATCCTTGTCACTTAAATACATCCTGCTTGGGCACTTTTAAATTTTTCCAGCGCCGCAAAACCACTTTGTATTTTTCACTTTCAGTCTTTTCTGATGCTTTTTTTAAGACAACTCGCATAACTACAGCAGTTTCTGTTTTTTTATCCTCCCCTACTATGAGATCCAGTGTGTCACCAACTTTCACCTGAAAATAGAGGCAGAGAGAGATAATTAACATTCTTTTGAGGAAAATAACCCTTAAGTTTATGTGTAATTTAATTGTCCTCCTCTTTCTACACCGATTATTCTTATCTTCTAGGGAAGTTGTTAGAATGGCTGTATAAGCAGTATAGCAGCATGTTCCTCTAATGCAGGCCTGCAAGTGAGTGATGAGGAGTGAATCCCTGTGAACCTCTCCATCCTGGCTGTGTTATTTCCATCTAATTGTTTTTGTTTTTTAATTTTTATGTATTGTAAATGCAACTGAAGGCTAGTCCAACTTCTTATTACCACCTTCAAAATTCAGTCCCTAATTCCATCTCTTCTCCCACGTAGGCCTTTGTAGTCCCCAATTCTGTAAGCCTCCTTGCTCTCTTTATGTCCTCATTCCACTTTTACCCTATACTTGGATCAACCCTCAAGCTTCTATTTATATGCAACTTCTCTCTCAGCCCACTCTCCCTCCTTCAAAATCCACTACTTTCAGTTAGCCTTCCAAAGCTACACCCCCCCCTCCAATCTTCTGTGCCTACTCCCACACCCCAAAAAATATACAGCAGCTAGTGTGAATGTTGCATAACATGATCTCGTGACTTCAAACAATGTAACCATAATCTTTCCTTATACCAGCCCGTGACTGCTGTTGCTTCTCCACTTCTCTGTCATGTCTAACCAACACGATAGGCTTCTAGGAGCAAAGATTTGTCTTATTTGAGTAAAGCACTATAGGTATGCTTACGGTTCAGTAAATAACCAAGAAGCAGTACCATTGCCATATTAAAGAGAAACAGAGCCCCAACAGTTCTTTGCATTTTTTTATATGCCAGCCTCTAGTAGGCTACCACTACGGGACAACTCCCATCATGCAAATGAAAACCTAGATTTTGTTTTTAATGTAGTGAATTTGGGGAGGATTACACATGTATGAGAAAAGTCTTAATACTCAAACACTTTGTATAACTTGTACAAAATGATAATGTGAAATTAAGTTAAGCCTAAGAATACCACTATTAGGGGTATATTGTTTCTCCATTTTACAGATGGAAAAAAATGAGCCAGAGAGGTAAGCAGAATCATAAAGAACTACCTTAACTTCAACCAGTGAGCTTATGGGTCTGGTAATAAGCCGCCCCAGAATCAATGTTAGCAGACATGATCTTATATTCTAGGTAACTTAATAATGAAGTATTAATCCAAATTCCTATTTGACTTCAAGCAGAAGAACTGGTAAACCTTAACAAAGACAAGTGTTACTGGAAGATGACTTCTTCACATTACACTTGGTGGTTCCAGCATTTTTTACATCCAACACTTTACAGTGTATGATAACTACCTTGACTTGTTGGGAAGTACATTAACTAAACGTAGTACATTTTGTGTTGGAACCATAGATCTTTATTTTTCAACTCTTGTATTACTGGAAACGGAACGGTTACCAGGTTGTTCAGCTGGAGTCAGACATCCCCTTCCAACTAAAAGCAAGTCTAAATTTTTCAGAGACCTAAAACTTGTGAGAACCAGAGGGGAGAAAGTTTACAGTTTTAGAAGCCCCTACCTGCTTATAGGCTGCTACGCATGCAAGGACAAATTTGGAACTCTTCACTCAGGCAAGCTTCCCATTGACTTCTATAGAGAGCTTGCCCAAGGAAGAGACTGTAAGGTTTGGTCCTTGGCATGTGGTTTCTAATCTGATATTAAAGATTAGATAGTTTATTATTCTAATGTCACTTGAATAACCAAATATAAAAACTTAATTTGAGGAAAACTACAAAATGACTGATTAAGTATTAATTTATTAAAAATGTAAATGGAGATATCCTATTTCCTAGAACTGGAAGGGACCTTGAAAGGTCATTGAGTCCAGCCCCCTGCCTTCACTAGCAGGACCAAGTACTGATTTTGCCCCAGATCCATAAGTGGCCCCCTCAAGGATTGAACTCACAACCCTGGGTTTAGCAGGCCAATGCTCAAACCACTGAGCTATCCCTCCCCCCAGTAAGAACTGAATGTTAATAGAAAAAACCCTAGCAGTCCAACAGACAGCAGGCACTTCAGAAAGGTAATTTTGTCTAATGTAACTAAAGTATATATGCAAAGCACCATAGGCTTGCATTGAAGTACATGATATTATACCTGCTTCATTCTTAGTTATACATGTCTGTTCTATAGACAGTTTTTTAAAAAATATTTTTGCATGCAAAAATCTCTGCCGAAGGACTCTGGATACGAATTGCATATTGGCATTTTTGCTTTGCAAGATGACTGATTTCAAGCAGAGTCTGTGTACTCAGATTAGAACACCAAACTCTTGATAATAGTCACAAACAAAAAATGTAGTTTAATATTAAAGTTGCTCTCATCAGTAAAATTAAACCATGAAAAAAGGAAATAAAAAGTTAGGGATTAACAGGTTGCAAAGTCAAGCACTCTCGAGTCAGGAAATGCCAGAATGAACGTTGTCCATGCAACTTTAATTAGGCTCCCTTGTGTGTATGCATGATAATATAGGATTTAATTACATGCAGAAGTGACTACCTGTGAAAACTTTGATGTAAATGATTTGCCCAGTGTCACATAAGAACTTGGTCACAGAGGCAGGGACTAAGGCCAGTCTACCCCTAAAATTTACGTCAACCTAACTACATCACTCAAGTCTGTGAAAAATGTTACATCTGCATGGCAGGTAGGTTGAACTAACCACCACTGTAGAATCAGCTAAATTCATGAAAGAATTCTTCCATTGACCTAGCTACCGCTTCTCAGAGAAGTGGATTACCTACATCAACAGAAGGAAAACCTCCTTCCTCAATACAGGAAGTATATGCTACAGCTGCATCACTAGAGCTATGCTATTGTAGCCACTATAGTGTGGACATACCCTGAGCCTCAAGGGTGGTAGTCAACTGCCCTAACCACAAGACCATGCTTTCTCTTCCTGCAGTCCCCTGCCTTATTCACTACAACCTTCCAACTTCTGCAACAAATGAGACAGGGCTCCTACAGTCAGAAGACTCCTTCACTGCACAAACCCAATTCATCCCCAGAGCAAACCAGGCATGCTTATAAAAAACGGTGAGACACCAAAGTACAGACCCTGTACAACAGAAAACTCTGACACAACCTTAACTATAGTCTTTGTACTGCAAGATCATAATATCAAGTCCGCAGAAACTACAAATGAAGTGTTGCAAGCGAGAAAAAAGTTGTGATGTTTCTGTTGATGACTTATAGAGACAAAAAGTATCAAAAAAGCAAGACACAGGCTATAGGAGATACGAGGGTTTGCCATAAAGATGCCATCTTTATAACGCTATCATTATGTGATGGATACTTTCCAGGTATTCAAAATGCATTAGTCCCTGCACCAAATAGCTCATACTGTAAGGACAGAAAGACAACTAGACAAAGGTTAAGGAAAGGAAAGGGAGCAACCAAAAAAAAAAAAAAAAAAAAAATTCACTACAAGTAGTGAGGCAGAAGTGGATTTTTAAGGACTTCAAAACAGAGAGGGCACAGTTGCCACAAATAAGAACATTCAGAGATTGGAGCATATAAAGAATGATATCCTGAAAGAGAATTTGAACAGGAACAATTCCTTTAACTGATGACTGGTGCTTCCTGATAAGAAAGCAGATAGGAGTTATTTAATACTGGGGAAAAGTGTCAGTGAAGCTCTTAAGAAGGGATGTAGTATGAGTAGGAAGTAATGATAAATGTATGGATTTCTCCTACTTACTTTCCTGTAACAATATTTTTTTAAATAATCTTTTTCTATAAGTAGCTACACTAACCCATGCAACCTTAATAGTGGATAGGCTGCAGGGATTAAAAAAACAAAACAAAACACAAAGTAAACATTTGTGGGGGTTAATTAAAAATCAATAAGCCTGGTAAATGCAGCTACAAGTGCCCTCCTCCCCCATATCTCTGGCAAAGTCTTCTGGGGGTGCAATTCCTCTAAAGGCAGAAAATTCCTTTCAGGAAGGGGAAAAGAATCAACTGTACTCCTCAGCTTACAGAACTACTTCTACTACCTCTATCAAGATGGAGTAGACATACAGTAACTTGTTTTGATTCATCCATCCCCCAGTTAAACTAGATATACTAAGGCCTGGTCTACACTAACCCCCCAAGTCGAACTAAGGTACGCAACTTCAGCTACGTGAATAACGTAGCTGAAGTCGACATACCTTAGTTCGAACTTACCGCGGTTCAGACGCGGTCCACACGCGGCAGGCAGGTTCCCCTTCGACTCCGCGATACTCCTCTCGCCGAGCTGGAGTACCGCAGTCGACGGCGAGCACTTCCTGGTTCGACTTATCGCGTCCAGACCAGACGCGATAAGTCGAACCCAGAACTTCGATCCCCAGCCGCCGAACTAGCGGCTGGGTGTAGACCAGCCCTTAGAAACTTCATGAAACCTGGATATTTTGTCTCCTTTCATAAATCCCCATTTTTTACATAATGTTTTATTTTAACCACAGGTATAGCAGCTCACATGTTACATGCAGGATAACTCATTGTTTTATAGCCTCTTACAATGCCTGCATGAGTACTATCAGAGTAGGAGGGAAGAGAAAATGTCAGCCTTAGTTATGATCTTGTATTATATTAATTTTTTTTAAAGCCTTACAGTTCTGCTTTTCTTCCACAATTTTTCTCCATTCAGCCGGAGTTCACCATTATAGAATGCATCTTCCACTTTGCTAAAATAAACAAAATAAAAAGTTTGCTTTATAGGTCTGCATTTACAGTGCACAGTAAACAAGTGCAATTGTTTCCTAACAGGCAAAAACGCAGTTCACCTGCAAAGTGTAGTCCAGAAAGAGAATTTGTGCATAAAAGCATACATATATTTCTGTGAGGGTTATTTAAAGATTGATTTAGGCTGGAAATCAAGTATATATTTCATAAATGCTGAATAAAAAAATAATTCATAACTGTTCTGTACCACAGGTACAAGGGCAGTTTAAGAGTGTTTATAACAGATGATACCCCTTTTTGTATGCCACCAGTCCTTTTAAACTTAAGAATGTTGTCTTCGGATATCAGCTTCAAGTCATACTAATGTATTGTAACTAACAGGCTTCTTAAATACTCTGTAGGTTGCATAGGTTATACATTGGGATGGACTTGTTAATAGGGTTTATGTATATCTGATGGAGATAGGTGTGGAGGTAGGTGTGGCAGGTTTATATTTACTGTAGAACTGGGTTAGACTCTTCCTTCTAGTCAATCTAGGGTATTTTTTTAAATCCTTCCACCGACTAGCAGAAGCTTTTCTATTCTTAAGCTCTTTCTTTTTAAGTCAACAATTAAAAGCATAAATGCTAGAGATTGATTAAAATTTATCACTGTCTCTTTAAGTAGTCTTAGTATTGAAGATAGTGATAAGTAGCAGAATTCTGGAAAAGAACAGATTCCAAGAGATAAAGTAACACTATACCTCCAAAGACAAATATGGACTTCTGATTAAGTTAAAAAAAATTCTTCTTCACTAAGTTACTGCAGCAAGAAAAAGGACATCAAAACAACATTTAACTATTTACTATATGACAATTTCTTTATCGGTAAGCTATATACATCTTTGATACTTACTTTCTTGCAATATCTAGACCAGATTTTATTATTAGATCATAACGAAAAGACTGGACTACTTTGTCAAGATCCTTGTAATCTTTCACTATATTGGGGTCATTTTCAAATTCATCTTCTGAATCACTTCTCTTTTCTTCATCCTCCTCCTCCTCCTCCTCCTCTTCTTGCAGGGTTTGTTTTTTCTTGCTAGAACTTTTGTCACTTTTAAGTCGTACACAAGGCACTGAAATACATTGTGAAGGCGGTCTTAAAAATACATCATGTTTCACAGGAGAAATGCTGAAGTGTTTTCTGTAGTTTATTATACTGGATTGGTGGCTAGAGTATATACATCTCCTCCAGGACACGCAGAGTTTATTAGAGGGGAATTTCTCCCAGACTCCAAGCCAGACATTTAGTTTTCTAAAGGCGGTGACGGGCAGTCTGAAACCAGTCATAGCATACCCTGAAATAAAGAGACAGATTCAAATTTGTTTGGTACTCTTTGCATTTTTTTCAGTATTGAAGAAATTGGTCAGCAAACAGCATATTTATAGTAGTGACTACTAAAATCAGCACCTTTTTTCCTTTTTGTGATAATGATATAGTTCCTTTTGAAACCATAAGGATTTTTGTATCTTTTCTGTGAAATGTTCTTTCTTCTCATATAGCAGGGTAGGTAAGTTGCCTATTCATAATCTGCATTTTTCATATATGTAACTCTTTTTTTACAATTTGTTAAACTACTAACTTGCTTATGGTTTCTTCCTTCCATTAGTCAAATACAATATTTTTAAGGTCATAGTTAACTTCCAGCCCATGCTATTTACCAAGAGCAGAGAGATGCCAGTGGCTACGTTTATTAGGGATAGTTCTTGACAGAAGTGACTTGCCCAATACCAGAGATAGAAGTAAAACCAGGAATAAAAGTCAGGAGTTCCTGAATTCACCTTGTGCTCGGACTGCTGAGCCAGTGATGAGAAAATGCTGCTTCTCCTAACCAGACCTTAATATCACTGAAGCATTTTCAAGAGAAATGCTCTTTCCTGCTGCAAGACATTTATCCATCCTTCACTAGAAGAGCAGTCACTAGCAAGAACAATCCCTTTTGCAGAAGATTCCCTGAAAATCATTCCAAGAATATAGTTTCCAAACAGGAGGAAAAAATAGTAGTTACCTTTTGATAGTCTTAGGGGAAAATGGATTTATGATCTTAAGTAAGGATGAAAAACAGTGTTATAACTCTACATTTCCACATGTTTGCATTAATCTTTTAGACTGAAATTTCCATGTTTTGTTCTCTATCCCAAAATGAATTTTTGGAAAGTTTGAACAAAAATTATTTTACATGTTTCAGGGTTGTCAGTGAGTGAAGGGGAAAAACCCCACTTTCAATGTCTTTGTAAATTTGTTTTTGTAAATGCAGACACAGAACGACAGCAACAGCTGAAGTATGAAATTTGGCATAGCCATAGTCCTCGTTAGGACTAATAATTTACGGCATAGTGTGAGCTGAGGGGTGAAAACATTGTTTACTATAGCACCTGAGGGCCCTAATTCATGAACCCAGACCCCATTCTATGAGGTGCCACAAGCCTTTGCTTGCCTTGGGAACAACTTTCTACAATGGTTATGAGGTACTGAAAAAAATCCCTAACATGTTTAACAGCCTCTGATATTTTAATAGAACCCAATGAAGCCCTGCCCACTCTGTCACAGGACCACTGCTAGGGCCATTTATATGAAAGAGAGTGAACCCTCACATTTATGAGACTGACCCTCTTTCACATACATGGCCCTAGCAGTGGTCCTGTAACAGAGTGGGCAGGGCTTCATTAGGTTCTATTAAAATATCAGAGGCTGTTAAACATGTTAGGGATTTTTTTCAGTACATCATAACCATTGTAGAAAGTTGTTCCCAAGCAAAGGCACCCTCATATTTTTGTAACTGTGAGTTTGTTAAACATCTGAGTTGTGACACCATGTACTTGCCATATGTTCTTCCACATGGGGGGGGGGGCAGAGGGGTGAAGCCCCCAAATGTATGCAACCATTCCAAAATCCCAGTCAGGATCAAGGTAGTGAGTGAGTGAGATTCTGATCCTAGACTGCAACTGCTAAGGGGCCATGTTTGGAGATGGGGAAGAGATTCCTTTCTTGTCTTGAAGCAGACAGACGCACTCGCTCTATCATGTAGGGTAACCAGACAGCACGTGTGAAAAATCGGGACAGAGGGCGGGGGGTAATAGGAGCCTATATAAGACCCCAAAATCGGGACTGTCCCTATAAAATCAGGACATCTAGTCACCCTACTATCATGCTCCAGGGTCTGATTTCAATCCCCACCAACAACTGGTCAGGATTAACCTTCTGGAACACACTTACCCTCTGCAACCATCCCCCTGGCTGCAGTTTGGTTCCCACTGAGCTTTTCTTCTAACCATCCCGCCCATGCACCCAGCCCTTGGGACACCCGGTTCCCTGCCAGGAAAGCGAGGTGCCCAAACCAGACTGTCACCCACCCGCAACTCTTCCCGCGTTTAGCTCCGTGCCCGCAGCGGGACCAGGCCGCGGGGGCCGGGCCTTGCTCGGTTCCAGCAGCAGCGCCGCTTCGGAGCTAGGGAAACGCCCGTGTCTGCCTGGGCAGGGCCGAGCTCCGCGGCCCCGGCCCCGGCCCCACCGACTGTGACCGCGGGGCCACGGGCTCGCTCTGCCGCCGGCCTGAGGGAGCCCAGCCGGGCCCGCCCCGCGGCAGCCGGAGAGCCAAGCTCCGCTCGGGCCGCGCTCCCTGCAGGCCCCGGCAGCTGCGCCGCAGGGCACGTCCCCGGGGAGCCGGGCCCCAGACGGAGCCCGGGAGGGGCCGCTGTTACCTGTGTCCGCCGGACGCTGCGGCCCGGCCCCTTCCCAATCCCGCCGCCGAGGCGCTGCGCGGAGAGCGGGGAGGAGTCGCCGGCCGGGGCCCGGCTGCTGGGGGCTGGCGCCGGGGAACTCGCTGCTCCGTCCAGGCCCAACCTCCTTCAGCGTGTGCGGGGCCGGGCCGCGTCCGCCGGGCTCAGCTCCCAGCAGTCAGTGGGGGCAGGGGGATGCGCCCTGCGGCCCTGCTTAGCTATACGGCCTGGCCCGCGCACCAGCCCGGCGGCTCCCGGGGAGCAGAGACCTGCTGGCTGGCAAGCGGGCATTTGCAAAGGATGGGTTTCTAGGGGCCTGCCCACTCAGTAGGGCAACCAGACAGCAAGTGTGAAAAATTGGGGGGGGAGGGTAATAGGAGCCTATATAAGAAAAAGCCCCAAATATCGGGACTGTCCCTATAAAATCGGGACATCTGGTCACCCTACCGCCCAACTGGATGCACCTTAAAGGGGCCGGGCTTTCCGCGGGGGAGTGTCGCTCAGGTCCCTTTCCCGTGCCTCAGGCTGGGCACCCACAAGTTGAGAGAGCCCGTGGGGAGGGAGAGGACGGGTATTCCCGCCAGCTGCTGGGGCTGCTATTATTCCTAGATGCCCTTTGGTCCCTTTTTCTCCCATGTGTAAAGACAGAGCTGACTAGGCTCAGGGGAGAGGCCTTGTCTCTTCTCAGGGTTCGCTAGAGCGGAAATCACAAACTAGTCTAAGGGCTGAGCCTTGGATGTGGTGTGAAAGCCAACACAGAAAAGGCAACGGTCCTGAGCCTGCCCCTCGACCCAGCAAAATCACTAGAACTGTAATCACTAAGCGCTGGTCTATGCTGCAACTTTGTCGGTATAACTGTGTCACTCAGGGGTGGGGAAAATCCACACCCCTGAGCAATATAGTTATATTGACCTAACCTCTGGTGTAGACAACACTATGTGATGGGAGTGCCTTTCCCGTCAACAGAGCTGTCACCTCAGGGCTGGTCTACACTACTGCTTACGTCAATGTAACTTACATCTCTTAGGGGTGTGAAAAAGACCCCCCCCCAAGTGATGCAAGTTACAGTGACCTAAGTGCTGTCTACACCAGCACTATCAGACACTCTCCCACTGACAAAGCTTCCACCTCTTGCAGAGGCGTAGTAATTATGCCAACTGGAGAGCGCATCTTCACCAGATGCGCTACAGTGGCGCAGCTGCACCAATGTAGCGCCATGGTGTAGACTTGGCCTTAGGGACGAGGTGCACCCATACTGATGGGAGAAGCTCTCCTGTCAGCGTAGGTGGCATCTTCACTAAACACTACAGCGGTGCAGCTGCTCTGGTGCAGCACTGTTGGTGAAGACAAGCCCTAAAATGGGCAGTGGAACCTCAGAACACGGCATTGCAGCTAAAGGCAGCACAGTAGGTGAAGCATATGCGTGGAAGAGTTAGATTTTTATTGGTAAACATCATTTTCACACACACCCTCACAAACTGATGGAAAATATTTTTATTGATAATCAAAAATGTACAGATAGGCAAAGTAACAAAAAAGCAGCTTGAGGACCCTATTAGAGTTTGATTTAAGGATATTTATGTCATATAGTTTGCCATGATGATGTCATTCTGTGTTAACAGTTATAAAGCTTTACCTTTTGAATCTCATCATCTACTGTTATTATATAATTATTGTCTGACTCCCCATTGTCTAAGCCTCCCATAATTTCCTGCAACTGTGAAAAACTATAAACATAAAAATAATCTATAAACATAAAAATAATGTTTAAAATCCACAATTTTGCACAGCTGGGGACATTTAAATTGATAGTATTTCAAAAAATTCTTAAACGTCCATATTTTCTGTCAACATTATTTTTAAAAAATCAAGTTCTTCCAAGCCTAGAGATGCATCAGCATCAAGGTGCCTCCCACCCAGCAAATCCTAGAGCTCTGATTACTAATAGCTGAGCTAGGTGGCCATGGCACTATAGGACCAGACCAGACCAAGGACATACCAGGGCATCAGCAGAGTGGGCAGTGACAAGCAGCAGAAGCAGTAACAGCGGTCTCACTCACCCATTTGAAGTGTACTCCTTGGATTCTGGGACTTCACTGACCTCAGACAACATACCATGAGCGGGATGCAGCAGAGGAAAAGGGAGAGTGGCATGTTAAAGGGAAGTAATTAGACTATCAGGGTTGGAAGGGGCCTCAGAAGATCATCCAACCTCCTGCTCAAAGCAGGACCAATCCCCAGACAGATTTTTGCCTCAGGTTCCTAAGTGGCCCCCTCAAGGATTGAACTCACAACCCTGGGTTTATAGCAGGTCAATGCTCAAACCACTGAGCTATCCCTCTCCCCCTTCATACTGCAAGGTGGGAAACTGAGGCAAATGACTACTGCTCAAGATATTGTGGGACAGGTGTTTTACCTGTCGTTTGAATACTTTTCAATCATTGTTGCTGTATTCCCTTTCCCCTTAATGGAAACTTTGTTGTTGTTGTTATATACAGGCTCTGTGCTTGCAGGTGGAGAAATATTGCCTAGAGGTACACTGGGGAGGTATTTAGTTTTTCCAGATTTCTCCTTGGGGGCTCAAGCCAATTTTGTTTTGGAATTTTAACAGGAGCCCTTAGATACGAGCCTGACCTTTGTACTGCTGACACCACCTGTCAGAAGGGTTACACAAAGAAACAGTGACATATCAGTCCATTGAGTGCCAATATTGTGAAATCTGAAGTTACAAATCATTATGGTTATTTAAATTGGGCAGCAGGGGCAAAGGACTTGTATGGACAATAAGAGTTTTACGAGGCAGTTAACCAGGTGAAGGAGCAACTCCGTGACCCTTGGGTTTAATTCCTTCTGATGGACATCTACAATACCTGTCCTGAAGATGGAGTCTCCTGCCTCCATTTTTGAAAAAATTGATGCTGCCTTGAAGATATACTCCACTGCTGCTACTTTGAAAGAAAATTCTCTCTCTGCTTTTGAGATACCTTCAGCTGCACTCTCGTCACCTGCTGCTGCTCCTGCATCCTCTACTTCTCAGAAAACTCAGAGGAAGGTTATCCCGAATACCACTCTTGGTGCCTCACGGAAGACCCGGACCACCAGCAAAGATGAAAAAATCAGCACCTGGTTGAAGAAAGCCCCTGTGGATACCTCTGCAAGGAGACCTAGCACCAGAAGGACAGTTCTTCAGGACCTCACATCCAGGAGCAATAATATCTCACCAGCTCTTCAGGAGGAGGACCCCCAGAGAACCCCTCCCACTTCCCAGGACCAGGATGCTGAGCGCTGCCCTGCTGCTCCTGAGAAGGATGCTACCAGAGGAGCCCCTCCGACCACCCAGGACCAGGATGCTGATCGCTGCCCTGCTGGGAAGGCTGCTACCAGGGGAGCCCCCCCGATGACACAGGACCAGGATACAGATCGCTGCCCCGCTGCTCCAGAGAGGGATGCTCCCGAAGGAACCACCTCCTCAACCCAGGACCCTGAAGCTACTTACCATCCTGCTGCCCAGAGGAAGGCCACTCCAAGAAGAACGCACTCCACAGCCCAGGGTCTCGATGCCACACGGTGTCCTACCAGGCAAAGAGATATTGTGGCCAGTGAGTCCAGCTCCCGCCCAGGAGTGACTCCACCTCCTCAAGCTTCCCTGCCAGACCGAGAGGAACCACCTGGCGAGACTGCAGGCACAACAGAGGTCTGCCCCACAGAGAGTGAGGCAGGGGAAGATGATTGCATCTACCTCCAGTACCCGATCCCTACAGGCCTCCTCCTCTGCCCCTTCTGCTTCCCCTTCTGTGGAGTCCAGACCCTCGGGGCCCTCAGCAAACATGTTCGGAAGGCCCACAACAAATGGATTGCCGTCCGATGTAGCCGCTGCGACTTACCCTTCGAGACTCAAAAGAAATGTAAGTATCACCAAACCATATGCAAGGGACCCCTCACAACAGCGACGTTCAATCCCACTGACACCCTGCGAGTTCCAACCCTGACCCCCACCGACGCTCCAGCTTCAGCACCTCAGCCAGCATACCCAGAGCCACAGCACGTAAGGGGGGACCAACCGAGGGAAGTGCGATCCCCGCCTCGAGGAGTGACCGACAAGATGACGCCACCAAAAGAACCAGCCCCGTCTCCAGAATCCCCATGCTGGACCCTGCCATGAGGGGGATCGCTGCCATCTCGCAAGTCAGCAACCTCACCAGACGCCTCAGCGACCTCATACAAACCATCCGGCAAAACATGGATATGAGACAGGGCAGTGCTCCCCCACAGGTAACCTCATGCCGCCCTGCCATAGGAGCAACTAGCGCCGCCCCCCAGGTAGATCGCCGAGATTCAGCCAATGGAGGAGCCTCCTGCAGCCCCCAGATCCCACAACTGGACCCTGCCCCTGGGAGACCCAACACCTCCTCCAGGGTTGCCCAGCGAGAACCCGACCGCCAAAAATCCCATGCCTCACCAAGGACCCCCCAACCAGATACCACCCACAAGAGAACCAGAACCATCCCCAGCACTTCCAGACATGACCGCGTCCCCCCAAGGTCCAACACCCGTGCTTCCAGAACCCCACTCCCTCCCGGAACATCCAGCACTGCCCCGGAGATACCGAGAGCTGCCCCCCCCACCGCCCCAGCATCCCCACCTCAAGATCCACCTGAACACCGCTCCCCAGGCCGAGAGACAACAAGGCCACAGACTGTCCCCGCAGCACCTGCACCTGCGGAGACAATGCAGCA